CCATGTCCTCTTCGCCTCTGGTCTTTTATTGGGAAATTCATCTGTAACGCCGACATACAACGGACTGTGTGAAACAGAGAAAGTATCCGAAGACAGCAGAACGGCTTGTTTACAGTTTGCTCCGGGGGCAGTCGATTTACCGCAAGCTATTGTTCTGTTCCGATGTGTCCTTGTTCGGAGGGACGATTCCGTCGATCCCGAGCTTTATCAAAAACTCCAAACGCTTTGCTGACTAGGCACGCTAGGTATAATAATTGCCAATGAAAAGGCGACACACATTAGTGCGCCCTACGTACTTAATTCTCTTTTATGTCCTCTTCCTCGTTGTTTATGTATTTACACCGTTCGGTGAGCGCTTCTTCATCACTTTTCCAACCTCCGAATGACGTCACGCAAACTTAACGTTTGTTTTTAAATATCTGGAATTTTTGGCATTATGTTACGTTGCGCCCTATATAATATCTCCGTCTGTCTCTCTCTATTTTCATATTGCAGAACTTGTGTTACACAGCACAGCTCACATATGTATATAATATATTTATAGTTAGAAATATGAAAACGAAACTAAAAACATTACACATTTATTTACTGTACATAAAAACGATGAAAAAATAATTTACAGGTACAAAATAAATATACCTAACTTATTTACAAACGCAGATCGAATATCGGCTTATATTTTGCGACAACATTCAGTCTAAATCAAAAAGCGGTTAAAAATGCGGTAACTAATTCGTAGGTACAAATAAAAAATTGATACTGCCCAGAGGGTGAGCAGCAGCTGAAGAACTTTTATCAATTTACACCATATCGCAAACGTTAGCATCAGTAATAATTGTCTGTCTGTTATTTCAGGGTAGTAAATATATATTTCTAAAAAGGAAAAGAAATAAATTAAATGAAACATTAAAAACTAACCTTAAAAATTCACCCCCATACTGATTCACGAAGTAATTTGTAAAGAAATGGTATTCTATTATCGATGCAGCAAATACGGCAAAAACTATGTTGAGAAAAATAAAATCTGCCCAATTCATTTTTCAGTGTTTAACTTATTCTTATTACCTATTCAAAACACAAATAAAAATTATCTTCTGCAAATTTGGTTCACAAATTTAACGCAAGATAGCGCATTTGCCAGTAAACTTTTACGTAGATGTACCTATCTAGGTACGAAATATCTACCAGGGTTGATGTCAATATAAATTTAAAAAATACGCTAATTGAAAGAAACTGTTCTTTTTCGTTATTTTGTAGATGATTTTCCTAGCACTTTTCTACAAGTTGCGTTTTTTTTTGTTTATTATAGAGAGAGTAAATTAGATTAGAGAATATAACAATGATATTTATTAGTATGAAAAAACCATCAGCGGCTCCTTTGATGTCTGCGATCAAGCCTGAGTTCGAATTAATTGATGCATTAAACGTTGTTGATAACAATATTTCACAGATTCAATATTTTTTTATTATTTTCCGCCTAATACAATGAACACTAACATGAAACCAATTAGTATTTGGTTAATCTCACGATTAAAATAAACCCAGTACGGAAAAGCTGAAAAGATCATTCAAAATTTATGACCTGAAATCTCTTTTGAAAAACTTTCCTAACTACATTTATATTATCACTGAGAACTGTTTAGGTCTCGAGAATTCGGCTTTTCTCGACAAGAATCGTCTATTATGAAACAAATTTTTTGAATATTTATAAATATTTTATACTATAACGATACAGTATTTAAAATACTATATACTATATTTATTCTATAACTATACAGTATTTAAAAAAATAGTGGAAAATGTTAAAAAAAAATCCAATTGTTTTGATTGCGTTTTAGGAGAATACCTATGCACTTTGATGTAGGCATACTTCTATACACTTGCATTTGTTAGAGTACCTATAACTATTATTTATTTTATATGATTGAACTTCTAACAGCACTTGGTACTATTTTATAAACTCAGTCGATTTTACATTCAAAGTATTTTTGAAATATATGATATTATTTATCAAAAAAGAGCATAAATATTAAATCCCTGCAATTCTCTGGCGCCATCTACAATTCAACTGAGGACTAACAACGAATAGAAATTTTGCTGGAACATCTATTAAATTACGCCAAACAAATGAATACTGTTTTTACGTGTCTATATTTCTAATTGTTATGTCAACATTAATAGAAAATTCTGTGCTTCGAAATAGGATGGGTCTTGGTGGTAAGTTTTTACTTTGTTATAATTTATTACTAGGTAGGTTACCATTTATTTTTAGGCCACTCAAAAGACCAATCAGATAATCAGAACAGGATTTTGTACTTTCGATGTATCACGCGGTATATGATGGTGCTGTCCTTTTAGCAGTTGCTGCATTAATTTACAGAATATGACATATTTTACAGATATATGTAAACTGTAAAGTAAAATAGGTTTTTTTATTTATTGTTTTTCTGTATGCGAATAGAAATTGCATTTTCTTTTCTCATTGACGAATACATGAACTATGAAACTAGTGCATATGTGACAGTAGCAGTTGCATAAATATTCAAACCAACTGGTGGCTGATTGTTTACTTATTTATTGAAGAAGTCCTAAAGTTAAGGCAAAATGAGCTTGGCCAACAACATTCTAATACTATTTATGATATTACTTACTGTAGAGACAGTTACGGAATACTTTTTTTTCTGGGAAGCTTTTGAGAAGAAATTTGGCAGTAAGTTTTAAGGTTAGCTACCCAATTTTATTTAATTATTAAAAACGACCACGTATGTTTCAGAGGAATTTACAGGTTTCCCATGGCAGTTTAGGATATTAAGAAATTTCGTTATGTTCTTTTACGCACTTCTTTGCCAAGCAATGAAGTTGGTTGGAACTTTACTAATTTTTACATCTTTACTGATGGCCTACGTCTATGGACCGTTACTAATAAAATACCTGGAGCTTCTGTGTGTTTATTACTGCATGCGTCTTAGAGCATTCGTCAGAAACAATTTGTAATGTATTTATTACATTTTTGCAAAGCTTTTATAACCTAAAAAAAACTGTACTGGACTGTTTGTGTGAATAAAACTTTTAATAAAATTATACTTTTAATTATAATAATGTTTTTACATTTTTGCTACATCCAGCAAATGTTTTTAAAAAAGATAGTAGCACAAAAGCTTCCTTAGTCCAAAGTTCAAGGTTTTGATTTCGATAGCACCTGTGTTCTACGTCACAATCTGTAATTGACATGGACGATATTGAGCTTATGTTTGTTCTATCTTACGGACTACTATGCACACTAACTCTATTTCATTACTGGTTGCTTTGGGAATGGTTTCAAATAACATATATGGGTAACCACAAACGTTTACAGGTTAGTTTTCATTTTATCCTTTTTCTGGGTTGTTTCAGGTGGTGCAGAAAACATTCCTTTTATGTCGACAATGGGTGCAAGTGTAGCTGCTTTAATCTATGCTCTGTGGTGTCAACTGCTAAACGTTACTACAGCGTTTATATTTATTTTTTTTCTAGTCGTACTCGACCAACTTGTCCCTGTTGATGAAATCGTCCGATATTCGATACACTTTTGATTTTTTTAAGGGTCTGATAGTTTGTTCCTTGGCGATTTAATTTAGGTATATTTTTATAAAGAAAAAGTAGAAACCTCCAAAACTTTTTGAAAAATAGGTAAACGCAACCACTTTAATACGTGTATTGAAAACAAATTAGGTACAATTAGGTGTAGATAAAAGCAGGGTAGGGTACAGGTTTTTGTACCTTGTCTATGGATACAATGTTTTTGTTTGTACTTAGTCTGCCAAGAGTCAAGTGTATAGGTAGCTACCTACTGGTTGTCATTTACGAATTTAACGAAGAAATATGACTATTATAATTTTGGTAATTTCTCTGACGTGCATTGTATTGTGGATGTGTTATTTTTCCTATATTTACAAAGCTGAAATGACTGGTAAGATGTCTAATACGTATATTTATTACAAGAAATATTCTTACTAGCATTTTAGACGAGCGAGATTCGTTCACAATTATTATAAAACGAATCATCCTACAAAGTTACACAGCAGTGAATAGGGATGTCAGAATAAATATTGATTGATTTTTCGTGGGACCTACAGTAAAAAACATTGACAAAAACGTCCCAAAATGTTTGCTTAGGTTTGTTGGTACAAAAACTTTTTCTTCTCTCTCTCTTCGCGAGCCGTCTTCATTACCAAGTGAGAAACTGAGGCCAGTTGTTGTCATGTCAAAAACAAAATGACAGCTGATAACTTCGCAGAACTGCCAGTGAGTGACTATTCGTAGTAAAATAAGTTAACTCCGATCATAGATAAGCCAGAATGAAATTTGTAATTATGTCAATAGTGTTAACATGGGTATGGATTTGGTTATTCAGGAAAATTGTAGTGGAGGAAATCGATGAACGACCTAAACCAAAACGTAAGTACTCTGCGTATTTCATTCTACCGTGTAGGTACGTAAAAATATGAATGTTTTAGCTGCGAATGTTAGCTTTACAAATTTCACCATACAGGAAACCGTAGAAGAACGCATATTACTACGGCCTAAAACTTCTCGTAACCACCTAAGTCGAAATCCTGTCGTTTTAATGTGGTTTGGTACATACACCTATCTCATGGCTAATATTTGGAAAGTTTGGTTAAATTTTTTATTTGGACTGTTCCCAGTAGTCAATGAAGATGACGACGTCGAAGTTGACGATTAAATCTATGCGAGTGTCCCTATTTATAATTTTAATTGTATTTAATTTGTTCTTAAATATGTGATGGTTTATTGTTCATCGAATTTGTGTTTTGACATGGTGTTTTTTAACCAATTTGTTGTTTTTGTAAATATGTTGAATATTTACACTTTTAAAATGTGAATGTAATATACCTAAGACTGAATTATAACAATTCTTGTTTTATTTATGAACTTAAACATAACACAAAAATTAATTATTATATTTATCAAAAAACATTAAATTAGTAAAATATACTTACAATACAATTAAATTCACTTAGGGAGGGTTCTCCAGTAGATTTTAGAAGGACGTGCTGATTGTTGATAACTGCTTCCCATAAACCTAAAACAAGTAGGAAACTTAACATCAAACTATACAGGGTGTAACTAAAATATTCGGCCAAACTTCAACAATAAATTGTATATGACAAATTAATGAATGAAAATTCTTATACGGTCTGTTACAATTTCGCTTCTCACTACAGGGATCTCGGAAACGGTAAGAGATATGAAGTAGCTTAAATGGTGGCAAAGTTGCATAATCAGGGGTCCAACATTATGCCTCTAAAAAATCAAGGCTAACATTAGTTTTCTAAATATTTGAAAAAAACCGAAACTTTGGAAACTCTAATAGTTTTATTGTAACGTGTGATGGTATTAGTTAGGTGGATTTCACAGGGTCTAACGACGCTTAGAGTTTACGATAATTCAATAAACATAGAAATCTAAAAAAAAATTGATTTGAATTTTTCGAGACAAAACGTCTGAATCTGGTTAAAAAAATACTAATATATGTTTTTAACACTGGTTTATGTATTTTCTATCTGCCATATGACATAGTAGGAATAATATATAGGACAAAATTTTCCGGGTGAACTTGTTTTTAAACAAATCAGTAAAACATATATTACTAAGTATAGTTTCTTGGTGGGTTTCTACACTAAAGGCTTGTTTTCCGATAAAATCAATTAACGCGAATTATAAATATTCCCCGATTTATGTCGGCAATAAGAAATTGGATTGTTGTTATTTATGTTGTTGACGATCGGGAGTAGAAAAAGTTTTGTCAAAGCAATTCGGTTAGGTAGTTAATTCGTTGGCATGGTTTATAGTGCTGAGAGCAGTTTCGATGAATAAGCTGTAAAAGCTCACATTAGACTGACCTGAAGCGCCAAAGGGCCTTGGGGCGAGAGGAAACGCCAAAGAGAAAACACAAACGTGCTCGTTAAAGAAATTGCCCTATTGATGACCACAGATTTGATCTGTACGTTTTTCTCTTCGCTACACCCCGCCGCAATAGCCCTGAACTAAACGGAGATACACAACAATCGGATTGTTGGTGATGTCCTGTTTTTTTTTTTAATTTTTAATCCATTGAAATATTTTTTTATAAATATTGGTTAAACTCCTCTATCAATTAATGAAACTAAAGTAAACTAATTCTTAATTGGGAATGAAAACTATTATTTTTTTATTTTGTTATTAATTAAAAGAAATAAACTACCCATTAAATATTTCAAATTCAGTTAGAAAAAATATTTTATATATTATACTCATCTGATCGAAGCAAATTAACTCTTGAAAGCTGAATTAAAAAACTTTATGATGATCTGAAACTTTTTTTTTAGTTAAATCTAAAAAAGTTGCATGACCCTTTAACATTTAAAAACTTTAATTCGTTTTTTAAAAATAGGTTAGGGATACCTTCTGTTCTTAATTAATTGGAACACTCTGTAGGCAATAGGATTTTAATTTTTACACTACAAAAAACTAAGGCAGTTTGGTGATGACTTAATTATAAAATGATTGGGATTTGCTGCCGATACATTTTCACGAGATCTAACCAAAAAAATCGTTAAAACTAGTTAATATGGGCCACTAGTAATTAGCAAAACTCATTGTATTATCATTCAAAATAAATATTTAATTGATATAAATACAGAAATATTTAATAATCAACTCACCCACATTATGTTGCATATGTCTTTTCATAATTTGACACAATAAAACTAACAACGGCTAGAAAGAAACATTACTGTCAAAACAATAGCAATAGATTTTTGATTTCTTATCTTTTGATAACATTGTTTTTACAATGTATATGATTTATGAATCATCCCTCGTACTTGGTATGTCCTTGAATGGAATATTAGTTAGTCTATTATACAGGGTGTTCAAAAAGTTTAGAACCCCCCCTCTATCTCAGAAAATACCAGAGTGAAGCAGCTTCCGTTAGCTTGAATCCAAACCTAAATTAATAGATGATAATATTTTCTGCAAATCTTCTATAAATAATAACACATACTGGCGTCTTTATGAACTAATTTGATACTGTAATGTGTATTAGATGTAACAGAAATGTGGACGATTTTTCAGAAAGTGACGCAACTTGTAAGTATATAAGTAAATAGTGCCTATGAACATACAGGATGTTCCGATATATAAGGGTTTTTTTCGAGAGTGAATTCGTATGTTGTAGTATGTATAGTATGAGGGAATAAAGAGATTTAAACTACCATAGGACTACTAAGATCAGAAAAGATAGAAATAGTATAGTCTTTCCGATCTCAATTGAAGAATCAAGAGGTTGGCAGTATGTACCAGGTTCGGTCGCTGACGCAGTAACTCGGTATTGAAATATTTGAAAAACTTGTTCTCATTTTTATTTAACCATGCCCATATACAGGTCTAGATGCGCAGTTGAAGAATGAGCGCGTGGGCAAACGCGGCACAAACACAGCCGCACTGAGCCACCTGGCCATAAATTCGATTGTCAACAAATGGCCTAGCAGTGCAGTGCAGCAATGCGGAATTTGGTGTGATTCAGGTAATTTTAATTTATTATAGGCACCCTCTATTAATCGTTCATATTACAATTGCGAAAGGGAGAAATAAGAGGGATATTTTGTTACTAATATTATCACAACATGGCATTTTGGAGACCTTTTGAAACGGAACAAAACGAAATTTACTATCAATATAATAAAATTGTTTGAGGACATAAGTAATTAAAATATGTTGTTGGTCAAATGAACATATAATATAAATTTTCTGCAAAGTATATACAAATTATTATAATTTTTTACCTTTAACAGAAAACTTTTTTAGGGACGCCTATGAAACTAATTAAATTTTATTGCTAGAAATTTTTTTATATGCTCAACTGACTTCGGAAAGACAGATATTTACCAATATTCAGTCGCGAAAAAACGCCATTAACATAGTACGTAGAAAACAAATGAAACGTACACTTTTTTTTTGTTAAATTTTAAGAAGGCGCATATTTAGAAAATACAAACCCTACACATTAGAATGTACTACACTTTTTGAGATACAGTCTGATATACATATACAGTATGTCCACAGAAAAGGTGTTGAATAGGAAAAACTTTCTTATTTTTCATTTTATCGAAAAAAGTTACTCTTGATAAAAAATGTGGCTGGTTCTTAAGTAAAACTACAAATAAATAAAAGTAGGCAGATTTTTTCGAAAATTGGTATTAGACTGCCCTTTACTTTTGAACAACTTTTCCTAGTAACTTATTTCCACATCTTCACAAATAAGTGCACTTTACTCTTGTACCATTTAAAGTTTTTTCAATTTTTTGAACACCCCGTACAAGAAATGTTAAATTTTTCTATCCCAATCTTACTTTAAGAACCAGCAAAATTTTTTATCAACAATAACTTTTTCGATAAAATGAAAAATAAGGAAGTTTTTCCTATTCAACACCTTTTCTGTGGACATACTGTATATGTATACAACTGATATGTCCGTTCCATTTTATTCGAAAAAAATAATTCTAAGGCTGCCCGTTTCCAAAAAAAATTAAAGGTATTTTTTATTGCATACAATTTTGAATAAAATGTAATCATTAAAACCCGTAAGATTCAGTATCGTACAAGTTTGCCCATTACCATTCCTTAGAAATTTCAAAATTTACAAGCCAATGTTTTTTAGATATTTAATTACATCGTAGTTAAAACTGTATTTGCGAAAAAAGTCCTATAAATATTTTTTTGTTAAACAATCAATTCTAGAATTATTTTCTGCTTAATCAACTGTCTATACAGCTATTTTCTTTTCTTCTAGGGAAAAATAACTCGAATATTACTCATGAGATAAATGCTTTATACCTACTATTGTTTCCTTTTTTCTTGGAAATAATTATTATAAATCTGGACACGATGTAAACTGATTTTTTTTTTCAGGTGAATGAGAGGTTAATAAGACGTATTCAATTGGGTGCATTGGATGAATTGTATTTTATTTTCCGTTGGGGATTTATTGGGTGAAAGGAGCACGGTAAAAGGGGGAGCAAGTGGGAAGTATAGATGTTTTGGTAGATAGGTTCCTGGTGCGATACGTGGCGATGCGAGTTAAAAATTAGTGCCTCGCCCGTTTGGCGGTTATTTTATTCCCTTTCCACCCGCATTTTTCGCAAAACTACTCAGATACCCAGCGAAGCTTATAAAGCCGGTAAAAGGCATCGTAGCTTCTTATTCTGATTTAATGAGTTTAATGTCATTATCCCACAATGATTTTCGCCGTTCGGTCCCCATTGGCGGGCGTTTAGAAGCATTGGAAGTCATTGAGGTGGAAGGAAATGCAGGCAGACGGACGAAATTCGACAGGATATTCCTCCTGACTTTTGTTACTTTCTCTTTCTGTTCCATTGGCGGCGGAAGGCGACGCAGCCCCGTTTTTCTGGCCGGCAGTTCCTCGACCTGCATCCAGTCCCTCTGATTGAACGGATGTGCCTGATAAACTGCTATACCCGCCGCCCGCCAAGCGATACTTGGATTTTATTTAAATCAGGAGGGCTTAGGTGCAGGAAGACTACTACAGTTAAAGATTCTCATTTATACCTCTTCCACCTAAATCACTGCTACTTTATCCGATTCAAACAGAGCCTAATATACGTATCTACACAATACTCTGTACAGATCCGAAACTTTGGAAGAAAAAATTATAGTGTACAACTCCTACCGTTACACTGTTGACTACAATTTATACAGGGCGTTCTACAAGGTCCACGACAAACTTTGACAGATAGTAGCTGGGTCAATTTCAAACATTTTTACTTATATGCACATAAATCCGATTCTGTTTTGTTTACAAGTTACAAGCATTTTAAATAATATAATTTCATATTTTAATCAAAGTAGCCTGATAAATAAAAATGATGGTTGCTACAACAATAATAATTATTTGTGTGATTTTGTTTATTCATTTGATACCTAACGTTAAAGTGCTAAGTAGAAACTGCATTTATTTACAACTGAAGAGTATGCAGATATTGTCTTTGTATAAGCACAGATAATATAGCTTATCGCCACAGA